GGCATGCTGATGATTCTACTTGCCGTGATGGCATTGTTTCTACGCAAAGGCGGCAAGCTTTATGAAAACAAATGGTTACACCGTTTTGCTTTTGCTATGGGACCTTCAGGATTTATTGCCTTGCTTGCAGGCTGGTTTACCACAGAAGTTGGTCGTCAACCGTGGGTGGTATATGGAGTGATGCGAACCAAAGATGCTTTATCTCCAGTTTCGGCGGAACAAGTCGGCCTCACTTTGATTATTTTCGTTGTGGTGTATTGCATCGTATTTGGCATCGGCATTTACTATATGTTGAAATTGATGCATAAAGGTCCACAATTTATCTACGCCACACCAGAAAGTGTAGCGCATAGTGAAGAAGCGGTTATTTTGGCCTCTAAACGTCCATTGACGAGTGTTGAAGATAGCGTTGATTCCAATGAGATATATCCGTTTATTCATTATGGATTAACCGCCACTAAAAATTTTGAAATGGCTTCAACATTCTCATTAATTTTTCTTAAGCCATCAAATTTGTCAGTTTCACCTAAACGCACACCATATTCAGGACTATAGATATCTGGGCTTGAATATAAGCCAATTTGATTTCCACCCATAATGGTACTGCCTAAAGGATGACCGAATCCCCAGTTATAACCTGTAGTTCGATCAAAACTATGTCCTAGCCCCATGTTATGCCCTAACTCATGTCGCATTGCAGTGATACCACAACCATAGTTATGTGATCCGATCATGTTGTACTTGCTCGGTGTGCTATTTACATAGGCGAGACCGCAACCCGAATGATCTGTAATGGTATATATCGCATCGGCCCCTGTTCTGGTTCTTTCCGCTTGTACAGTGGCATCTGAACGTCCTAAATTAATCGCATCACCGAGTGTCGTTCCAGGGATTCGATAATCCAAGTATCCGACTTCTTTGTAGTAGGCTTTTGCTTGCGAGTTTTCAAGCGCTTCATTGGTTAATCTGAGTGCTTCACGGGCTTGAATTTTTGCAGCAGTTGAACCGAGTTTGTCATTGACTACCGGGCTATTCACAAGCAATAGATCAATCTGATAGCTATCGGTGTTCCAAACACCGTTGTTAAATACCAAACGGATTTTATCGCCTTTTTTCAAACTTGCACTAATGTTACTACCTGAAACTGTAAACGCTGTATCCGCAGAATTAGATACGATGACTTTGTCACCCGACTGAGCCGCTGGCAAGTTTACAACAGGTGCCCATTGTGCATTATCAGCGGTTATTTCAACAACAGGGGTTTTAAATGTAAAACCTTGTGCAGCGGTGTTTGCAGTAAATACGGTTTTAGGAGAAGAAGCCAAAACCCAATACGATTTATCTGCAATATAAATGAACTCGTAACGATTGCCCTTGTTGAGTTTTAGGGTTGCGGTGGTATTGGTATTTTCATTTTCAATCACTGATTGCCAGCTTGCTGTTGAGCTAACAATGATACGATCTCGGTCGTTTGCTGTTTGCGGTAATTTTAATGAAGACACCCACGCCCCATCAGCAAAACGAATTTCTGTTTTAGGTGCAGTTAAATTTTGCAAAGCCGTATTTAATGCCGCAGTATTACCATTGATCACGTTGATAATACGTGTCGGAACAGACAGTGGAACCCATTTACTCAGTTCTTGATTATATTGAAAGATATATGCATCATTTTTATTAACAACCAATGTACTTGGAAATAAAGCATTTTGTGAATTAATTTTTGAGGATTTAAGCGCATTAGACTTAATTACAAGGATCTGGCCATTCTGACCTGTTTGCGGTAAATGAATTGTCTCAGTCCAAGCAGCATCACTTAAAACATATTGGGCCTGTGATTGTTGAAATACTGGAATGGTATTGCCATTTTTTTCAGGCGTAAAATTGGCAGTTTCAGGCGCATAAAACTCCCATTTTCCATTACTAAATTTAAAACGATAACTGTTTCCAGACTTTAGTGTGAGAACGCCTTTTTTTTCAATATTTACATTACTTAAATCAATATCACTGTCATAACCCGCAGTTGATTGAATTGTAATTAGGGCACCTTCTTTTGCTACATTCGGTAAGGAAATATTCTTCACCCAATTGCCATTGGATACACTAAATATCAGATCATCATAGCCTGTTGGGATGATTCCACTCTGGTTATTCTGGTTTGGTGATAGTGTGGTTGCGGCTATGGCAAAAGTGACCATGCCACTTGTAATGAAGACTGTAATAACTTTTCTTTTATTCATGTTATACCTGAGTCAATATTATAAAGTTGAGCTGACACTATAAATTAATTTTTATTGAAAAATAAAATTAAAAATTGTTAATAAAATCGATAAAACTAACAGCAACCCCAGGTTCTATTAACTTATAAATATATGATATATAAATAAAAATAAATATTACAACCCCAAAATAATGCAGAGCTTATAAAATAAAACTTAGTAAAATCATTAATATAAATCAATCAATAATTCGTGAATTATCCTTCTTTTTGTTGAATAATCGCTGAGCTTAAATCTTAATATTCCATTATAGAAATTTGATATTTCTATAGCTGATTCAACCCATTAAAATTATTTCTATATCATTTCATCCACATTGATTTTCACATCTTTATTTTCTGGATTTGTAAATTAAAAAATAACAATATCAATAATTTAAATAAATAATGTTAAGTTTATAAAGCAATATTTTCTATTCAAAAGAGTAAAAATCACAAAAAAAGTGTCCTCAAAGGATATGGTCGCTAATTATTCTAAATGGTAAAAACTTTTAATCGCTTAACAGTTTCATGTTGGATAACCACAATGATCACGGAAAGTCATCAAATTAAAGCAAGAAAAGTACATTTCGATTTTTCTGAGTCTTCTGTATGTTGGATGCCAGATGATCCACTATGTTCACATATTGCCAATGGTATCAATATGCTTTTGCCTGCGGGTGAGTTTTGGTTTTGTCGGGTATTTAATAAAACCCTCCCACATATTACAGATGAAAAATTAAAACAAGAAGTTATTGGCTTTGTCCGTCAAGAAGCTGCACATGCACGCGCACATGAAAAAGTACAAGACTTTTTAAGAGAAAATGGCTATGACATACAAGAACCATTAAATCGTGCCCATCTTGTTTTCAACATTTTATTAGGTGACAAACCATTAGGAATTCCTTTTTTAAAAGGGAAAAAATTTGATGAATATTGGTTAATCTTTCGTGTAGGTGTCATTGCAGCAATTGAGCACTTCACAGGTACAATTGGGCAATGGACGCTTGATAGCAAATCTTGGGATAAAGCAGATCCAGCCATGGCTGATTTATTCCGCTGGCATCTCGCAGAAGAAGTTGAACATCGTTGTGTCGCTTATGATTTGTTTGAGCATTTATTACAACAAAAGCTAGGTTTTTATGTTTCCAGACAAATCATTATGATGGGAATTTTTCCGCTTTTTATTTACTTCCTTGTTGATTTTGCTCGTAGTCTTGGTCAACAAGATACTGAGCATCAACAAATCCAGAAATTAATGCGCCGTGGGTTCTTTGCTTTTATTCGAGAGTTTGAAAAAACTGCAACCAAAACAGATCACCTACCGACCATTAAATACCTATGGAAAGCCACTCTACGTTGGACATCTCCAAAGTTTAACCCAATTCATGAGGGTGATACAGAACAGGCTTTAGCTTATATGTCACGTTCACCTGCTGTTCAGTATTTTGAGAAAACGGCGCTCAATTAGAGTCAGGACATAATATAAATTGTGTTTATAAAAAGCCTTCTATAAAAGAAGGCTCATGTAATCACTTTATGAGTGGCATACTTTCTTTTGTACTATTTGGTGGGATGATGATTTGAACTCTGCGTTGGCCATTTCCAACGGCCTTAATTTCTCCACTGGTCAGCCCATATGTAATCTTAGCACTCTTAAAACTCTTTCCAGAATCACTTGAAATCTCGGCATTACCTTCTAATGTAACCAAAAGCCTATTTGCATCATATGTAATCTTTTCAGCGCTACCATTGATCAATTCACCTGTTTGATAATTTTTCTTTTTAAATTCTACTGGATGACCTAAAGCAATAATACGATCAAGCTGTTTGTTCTTCTTTTGTTTTAGCTCGATTTCATTTCCCTCAATACTCATCGACCCTTGTTTAGCGATGAAGTTTCCTTGATATACGCCTTCTCTAGCGTTTAAATTGAAACTTAAAAAATCACCAGACAACTCTAAAGGTTTACTAAAGTCAGGATCAAATTGAGCTCTAGAGGCAATAGGAATCAAAGACAAGAGGATTATAAATAAAGTTTTTTTCATATCGAAAGATTATTAATAATAATGAGTATCATTTTCAAATAATACCATAATGGCAATGTTTTCGACACCATTCAGAGCCATGACACCCTATTCCCCCTAAACAACGTTCAAACTATTAAAGGATTGTTTTAACCTTAGCACTCTATCAAGATATTTATTTACCAAACTCGCACATCCTAAATCTAGAGAATGTCGAGCCTTATCTCTTAAAATATAGCTATTATGAATCTAATTAATGTTGGCTTATTTGTTTTAATGACATTAATTGTGCTGATGATTAAAAGAATAAACGTCTTCACAATCAGGTTAAACAACTAATGGCGGAAAGGTTATACTAGCTATGACACTGACAGGATACAACAATCTTGATCTCGTCCCATTACAAACGACTTTAGATTTCATCAAACGAAAGCATCCTTTACTCGAACAATGGTGGCAACATGAATTCGGATTCCCGCTCGAATATCTCACACAAGGCGAACTCGGACATTTCAAAAAACCCCACAGCCTTGACGAAATCAGAAATCGACTCATTGAGGCTGGATTTCAAAGCTGCCATGAAACTCGCGAGAAACATGGTTAATGCGAGTCCTATAACTCCTCCAAATTCAAAATAAAAAAGCACCTTAAGGTGCTTTTTTAAACGACTGATGCTTGCTCAATAAATCATCAACAGTACAGTCACTTACAGCTTTTGATTATTTCGCGTTTGGACGTACCATTTTTTCAGGTTGTACCACTTCATCAAACTGTTCAGCCGTGACAAAGCCAAGTTCTATCGCGACTTCTTTTAAAGTCTTATCTTCTTTATAAGCCGTTTTGGCAACTTTAGCGGCATTTTCATAACCAATCACAGGATTCAGTGCTGTTACCAACATCAATGAATTATGTAAGAAGTAATCAATTTTTTCACGATTTGGTTCAATCCCTACAGCACAGTGTTCATCGAAGCTGTTACATGCATCGCCAAGCAATTGAATCGACTGAACAAGATTATATGCAATCACAGGCATATAAACATTCAGTTCAAAATTCCCCGCTGCACCTGCAAAATTAATCGTGGTGTCATTCCCCATCACTTGCGCAACCACCATGGTCATTGCTTCACATTGGGTTGGGTTGACTTTACCTGGCATGATGCTTGAACCTGGTTCATTCTCTGGAATACGCAACTCACCCAAACCACAACGTGGTCCACTTGCTAACCAACGTATATCATTGGCAATTTTATTTAAACTTGCAGCTAAGGTTTTCAATGAACCAGAAGCAAATACAGCAGCATCACGACCAGCAAGTGCTTCAAACTTATTTGGATTACTGATAAATGGCAAACCCGTCAGTTTGGCTAATTCTTCCGCTGCTTTGTCTGCATATTCAGGATGCGCATTTAAACCTGTACCAACAGCTGTACCACCAAGTGGTAACTCATAGAGCCACACCAAAGCCTGTTGTAAACGTTTTAGTCCATGATCCAGCTGTGAAACATAGCCACTGAATTCCTGTCCTAATGTAAGTGGTGTTGCATCCTGTAAATGAGTACGGCCAATCTTAACAATATCGTCAAACGCTTCAGATTTTCGATGTAAAGTGTCTCGTAAACGTTTTACTGCTGGAATAAGCAACTCATTGATTTGTACCGCAGCAGCCACATGAATCGCTGTTGGAAATGAATCATTCGTAGATTGCGCACGATTGACATGATCATTCGGATGCACAGGCTTTTGTGAACCTAATGGATTGCCTAGTTTTTGATTGGCGATATTGGCAATGACTTCATTACAGTTCATATTACTTTGCGTACCTGAACCTGTTTGCCAAACCACCAAAGGAAATTGTGAATCCCATTTGCCTGAAATTACTTCATCAGCAGCATCGACAATATACTGTGACAGATCATGCGGAATTTGGTTTAAGCTGGCATTGGTTATTGCCGCTGCTTTTTTGACTAGCCCCATCGCTCGAATCATCGGGCGTGGCATATGTTCTGTACCAATTTTAAAATTTTCTACGCTTCGCTGAGTTTGTGCGCCCCACATTGCTTCGCTTGGGACTTCAACATCGCCCATTGTGTCATGTTCAATACGTGTTTGCATTTTCAACCTCTTCTTCATCCATATCTTATTTTCAAGTTAAAGCTTGTTTTGACAACATCTGCGTAAAAACACCAGCTTCAGCGAAGCGATTATGCTAAACAAATCAATCAAAAATGTAAATGATAATTATTTACAACAATCATCTATTCTGGATTTTTATCGGTTGTTTAAGGTATTTTGATAAAAACGCCATTCATCTTCAATCATTTGTTTAAGCGAGCGCTGTGCTTTCCATTTTAAAATCTCAAATGCTTTTTGGCTGGTAGATGCAACCTGATCCAGTTCATCTAATTTATACACCGCATCAATTTGATGGATTTGACTTGCTGTAACCTCTTCGATCAAGTTGATCAGGTTTTGTATCGAACTGACAGGACCTGCAATATCAAAACTTTGATAAACATTGCCCTGCTCATGTAGCCAAAGAATAGTTGATTTAATTGCTTCACATACATCAAGTACATGCACAAAGCTACGCTCAGTCGTTTTATCCTCAGTCTCTGAATTACGTTGTACTTCAATTAGATCACGTTGTTGAGCCGCAACTTGTAAAGCCAAAGGGACAACATTTTTAGGTAGAGGTGCAACAAACTCACCCAAGACACCATGCTCAAATGCACCGACGACATTTGAAACCCTTAAAATGGCAATTTTCCATTCTTCATCAGTTTTGAATGTGTCTTTAATGATTTCTTCAATCATTTGCTGAGATTTTATATAAGGATTAGGGTAACTATAATTAAATGCGGTTTGTTCATTCAGCTCTAAACTTGATTGCGCATAAACCATAAGGCTAGAAAGATGTACCAAATTTCTGACACCGGTACGCTGCATCGCGCGTAATAAACTCATAATACAACTGAGATTGTCATTATAATATTCAAGTGGTTTTAGATTTGACTCTTCAATGGACTTAAATCCCGCACAATGCACAACGGTATCTATTGAATATTGTTCAAATACTTTATTTAAAGCGGGGGTATTACGAATATCAATTTTGACAAAGGGAATGTACATTCCTGTTATAAATTCTAAGCGTTCTAAGCATTGCAGATTGGCATTGGCTAGATTATCCACAATGACGACCGCTTGCCCTTGAGCTAGCAAACTTAAAACCACATGCGAGCCTATAAAGCCTAAACCACCAGTCACTAAAATCATTGTATACTACCTATCATTATCAAGTTTGAATGTTGCAAACTGTCCATTCTCCAAGTGAATCGCCATCAAATGAGTACTTTATTACTAATCACCGCAGCACCGACTTCAATCCATGCATGGCATGCATTGGGTTTAGCGCAGGCACTGCAAGCTGAAGATCAAGAATTTCGTGTTTTCTTTTATCAAGATGGTGTACAAGTTGCGAACAACTTGCAATGGGTTCCTGACGATCAACGTAATTTATCTGTAGAATGGCAAAAACTCTCAATTCGACTTCCTGTCTGTGTGAGTGCTGCATTAGCGCGGGGGATAACAGATCAAGAGAATGCCAAACGTCACCAAATTCCAGCCGATAATCTTGCAAAAGGCTTTGAGCTTGTGGGTTTAGGCGAACTTGCAGATGCTGTTCAATCTACAGATCGTATCATTCAATTCTAAGTTGATCATCCCATTAGCGTGTTGCATTTAAAAGGTAATTTGTGTGAATACTGTGCTCGTTGTGATAACTCAAGCAAATTTAAATACATTGCAGATACATGAAAGCTTGTCAGCAACCATGGTGCTTGCAACTTTTGGCTGTAAAGTCAAAGTGTTACTTAAAGACGCTGGATTAAGCCTACTTAAATCAGAAATGGCTTTTAGCCAATTAAATCACGTATTTAAGCTTGCTTCAAATCTCGTCGATAGCTTTGAATTCTATGATTTAACACCAGTTTTAGTAGAAAATATGAATAAATCCTCGACTTTTGTTACTCAATCACAACAAGAGTTGGAATTTGTAGAACTGAATGCTGAATTTATTCAGTCTTTTGATCATGTGTTGTATTGGTAAGCAGTAGATGGAAAGTCCAAATGTCAGATAAAACACTTTATTTAATTCAATCTTCTTTTATACATACAGACCATATATTGAATCAGTTGGATCAACTGTATGGTTCTCATGATCACGTTGTTTTAATGGGTGATGCGGTACTGTTTGTAGCAGACCAGCGTTTAACAAACAAACAGAATCTTTATCTTCTTGAAAATGATGCTGAGATTTTATCTGAATCCATTCCTGAAAATTTTAAATCAATTTCTTACCCACAATTTGCTCAGTTGGTTTTAGACTTTAGCCGTTGTATCAGTTTAAAATAGTGGGCTAGGTTGTCAATTATCTTCGATTTTTTAAAAATCAATCTTTGATGTTTTGTTGATCAAAAGTTACATTGTTTCAGTTGTTTTGTTTAGGTGGTTTTATGAGCTTTGAGTTAGACCAAGATGGTCATTTAGTAGATTACACCATTTGGAATGAACAGGTTGCTCAAGAGTTAGCACAAAGTTTAGATCTACAACTGACCCCATGGCATTTTGAAGTGTTGCATGCAGTACGTCAATTTTATACCCAGTTTGGCCACTCACCTGCAACTCGTCCACTGATTAAATTTTTAATGAAAACGATCAACCCAGCAATTGATAATGCTGTTCTACAAGACAAGTTTAATACAGGACTGGTTGCCCGCCATTTAAGCCGTTTGGCAGGTATCCCTAAACCTGCAAATTGTTTGTGATCAGTTCGTAAATATTAATTCGTTTAATTCAATATGAGATCAAACCCATCAATATAGCGAGTAAATATCTAAACTGGCGATAGCATAAATTATTTCACTTTCTTCCTGAGCAAATCCCATTGGTATTTGAAAAAATATTTTAGTGTTTGATTTGGATTGACTGCAGTTTTATTTTTTAAATTTACGCCATCCGAATGATCATAATCTAAAAAATTAGCTGTAGTACCCTGTATAAATTGAAAGCTCGATCCTTTGGCTGTAATTTTCTGTGATTCAAACAAATGATCTAATCCAAAACGATGCCCTAATTCATGTACCACGACTTGATTAAATATATTTTGAGGACAGTTAAATAATGTAACGCTGTCACCACCAGCACCAACTGCGTTCTTTATCTCTACAGTTGTGACGAAAACATAATTTTTAGTCGCTAAGTTTTTATCTTGATATTTTTTATAAAACTTAGTTAAGTCACTTAAAAAATAACCCGTGTCATTTATATTTAATTTATTCAAAGATATATTAACATCATCGTCTTTGCTACGATATTTGTTTAAATCAAATGTTGGGGCATTTTTTATTTCTACATTAATTAAAGCTTGGTTAAATGAGTTATGCTTTAAAAAATTTTCATAATCATGTGAACGGCTTGGTTTTTTTCCATCAGTTATAACGTCTACAAAGATAACCGATATAGTAGGAATCACAGCATTATGATAAAGCATTAGCTTCCCAACTTTCTCTTGGGTCTCTCCTTTTATTGCTGTTACAATGATTTCTTCATGTTTTTGCAAAGCACCTGTGCACTTAATATTCACTATTTCTGAAGCTAGATAATAAATCTCTTCTTCTCTTTTAATATCTTCGCCTAAATCTCGGGTCATTTTTTTGGCGTAAATAAAATCTTCGACACTGAACTCTGCTGGTTCAATAATAATATTCGGATTTGAAACTTCAAACTTAATCTTTGTTCCATCATTTTTTAATGAAAAATTATTTTCTGAATCTAATAGTCTCAACTCTAAATTAAGCCTAACCCCTTGATTGACAGGATTAGAACTATTGCTATCCTCCTGTGAGCTTGGGTAAATTGCTAACCATGCAGGGATATATTCTGTACCAAATGGGCTAATTTTAGTAATTTGGTCTTGAGTATATGTCGCTTTTAATGATTGTATCGAACCACTAACTAAAGCAACTTTGTTTCCAAATTTTGTTGCTGCATTCGGTCTATAGTTGGTTAATTTTTTAAAGTATTCTGGTCTGTACCAATCAAAACCATAACTTCCATCATATATGTTATCTTCACATCTTCGAAAATGAATCGTAAACTTCTGTAGGCACGTATCACAAGTACTTCCGACTGTTGGGCTTGAACCAATTCCCATTCGATGACTCCATATTAAATATTTTATAAATTATTAAATTTTTGCATCAGTTAAATAAGTATATAAAAATGAATAACTTGATCAAAGTTATCTGTTAAAAAAAACTCTAAATTCTTTATCAAGCAATAAACCTTATTTTCTAAACTAAGATTACAGTTACTGTTTTTCATACTTTTACTTATTAATTTAAATTATATCTTTTTAAAATTGAACAATCACATATTTTATATCTTGTTAACAAAAATCAAAAACAATATCAGTAATTAAAAGTTCAAATTACTTGCAACGCTTCATCTAAACATTTTCACAAACACTAAAGATAATGAGTGCCCCTGCCTTTAGATTTTTATGAAATTTACCAACAACTTAATCTAAAATTAATTCATGAAAAATATTGAAAAATCATCTAGGAAATAGCAATCAAGCTAATTTTTTCTGCGCTATGTATTGAAAAAAAGCTGGGGTAACGATTGGCTTCACCTGTCTTGCATTCACCGCCTGCTGACATTCTGAACATACCAATACCGGAGTAAACTCATGACCACAAACGGTATGTTGATACACCATAGGTGCACCCAGCCCCTCATCCATCCATTTATCCGCCCATGCCACCATGGTTAATAAAATAGGATATAGATCTAAACCCTTTTCAGTTAAGCGATATTCATAACGCTCTTGTCGATCGACATAAGCTACTTTAACCAATATTTCATGCTCGACCAAACGTTTTAGCCGTTCAGACAATACATGTCTTGTCACACCTAAATTTTCTTGAAAATCATCAAAACGACGTAAACCCATAAAAGCATTACGTAAAATAAGCATGGTCCATCGATCACCCAATACAGATAATGTACGCGCAATTGAACACGGTTGATTGCCTATTTCTTCCCATTTCATACGAAGTTCCAAATTACATTTGTAAATTTAAAATACCATTGCTGAATACTATGAAATAAACAGAAAAAGAAAGATAGTATTTCAGGGATTTTTTTTACATTCATTTAAATTGAGCGACAAGTGCTTATGCTTTACAAAAGGATGACTCACAACTAAAAGTAGCGTTAGTCAACATTAAAAAATGCTGGGATTTTTTTAATGCTCAAAAACAATAAAAGCCCAATTCTGGGCTTTTATCTTAAAAGAAATCTTACTTATTCAACAACTTGTCCACGACACCAAATTTTTTGAAAATACTTGCTCGGCGTTTAGGATAAATACTGGCCTTATTTAAATCACCCTTGTAATGATCAAATACACGCTTATCCATAATTTTAAACCACCACGATGGGATCATCGCTGGCAACAGCATACTTGCATAACCGCTTGGTAATTCAGGTGCTTCATCAAAGTGACGTAACGCTTGGAATGGGCGTGTCGGAAAGGCATGATGATCTGAATGACGTTGTAACTGATATAAGAATAAATTAGTTACGATGTTGTTATTGTTCCAACTATGCTCAGGCATTGTGCGTTCATATTTGCCATTTTCATCTTTTTGGCGCAATAAACCATAATGCTCAATATAATTAATGATCTCAAACAACGTAATACTATAAGCTGACTGAGTTGCTAAATAAGGCAAAATACCTTTACCAAATAACCCGACCATAGACGAATGGAATGCTGCGGTCATTGTCCAGCCTTGCAATAACTCATTATCTTTAGACCAGAATCCAAGGCCCTTACGTTTAAGACGGTTGGTTTCAATCTCAATCGCTGATTTAAATGAGCCAATGACGGTACGTGGTAAAAACTCATAAAGCGTTTCACCCATTTGCGACGAAGCAGGATCTTCAGGCGTCGCAGCGCGTTTATGGTGTCCATAAGGATGTTCGATACGGAAATGGTTATAACCTGATGGAACCAATGCCAAATGCGATAAAATATGGTCCATACGGTCATGCTTATGGCTTAACTCATGTGCTGTGTTAATGGCAATACCATTAATTGCACCCATTGAAACACCTAGCAAAATCTTATCTAAAAGTGATGTTTGTTTACGTCCCACCAAATAACAAGCATAAACATTGGCGACATATTGAATCGGAATAAAGGATTTGACCAAACGTGAATAATACGGATCTTGCTCAAGTAATTTTACATCTTCACTGGTCGGATTGTTTTTATCCTTACCAATCAATGAATCAATGGCTGGAATAATCACATGCAGTACCAGTGGCCCACCCAATGCAAAAACTTTTTTTAGTGGCTTAGGTGCAACATGATATCCCGCTAAAATTCCTAACCCAATCACTGGAAGTGATGGGCTAATCATCCAAAGATAACGCTTTTTATCAAGTGCCAAACCTGACTTTGGTTTTAATTCTTGCAATTGCTGCTCTGTCAGTTGAACTGGTGCATTCATGGCTATATCTTCCCTATCTTTCTACTTAGTTATATATTTATGTAAAATTCAACTTAAAGACAGTTGTAAGCGTCCATAAAACCTATGAAAAAGTCTTTGGCATCTTCAACATAGAGTTTGTCCTTTGCGCACATGTTTTAATAGCATGAAACATTTTTATTATTTGAGAACAGGAAATTTGAACTGAATCTATGGATGCTTTAAGTAAAATTTTTGATGATATTCATCTCAACCATTCAGAATATATTTACCTTCAAGCTCAAGGTGATTGGTCATTTCAGAGCCCAAAACAAGATGCCGTGATCGCGCATATTGTTCTGTATGGAAATGCTTATTTAGAATTTTCACCCAAAATGACTGTTGCACTACAAACCGGCGATATGTTTTTAATCCCAGCAGGATTAGCACATACTGTAAAAAATCATTTAGACACGCAGTTAGTTGAAAGCCTCAATATAGAATCACTGTTTGATGGATTAAGACAAGACGCAATTGAATTTGGTCAAGGAAGCTCAGAAAAGACCCTTATCCTTTCTGTACGATGCCATATGAATGCAATCATGGCTCGTCCATTGATCAATGCACTCCCACCATATTTACATATTCAAAATGCCTTGAGTGATGAGGCACCTGAATGGCTTAAAATTGGATTATATTTTGTTTCTGCTGAAACCCGTAGAACCATGGCAGGTAAAAATAAAATTATGGACCACGTCGTCAGTATTTTGATGATTGAGTGTGTACGTGACTATATTGAGCAAATGCAAGATCACAATAACTGGTTAAATGCCCTGGTGCACCCTGAACTTTCAAATGCACTTGCAGCCATTCACAGCCGTCCAGAACAGAGCTGGACCGTAGAAAGCTTAGCAGAAACCTGTTGTATGTCGCGTTCTAAATTTGCCAGTTTATTTAATCAAATTATTGGGGAAACACCTTTAGCCTACTTGCAACAACATCGCTTACGTCTTGCCAGCCAGCTGATCAAACAAGGACAACTGCCTATTCAGCAGATTGCACACCAAGTGGGATATTCATCTGAAACCGCATTTAGCCAGGCATTTAAGAAACAATTTGAACTTAGCCCAAGCCAATATCGCAATCAGATCTAAAAAAGATTAGAGACATCCGCTAATCATATCTTAGTGATATAGCTCCTGTACTCACACTATATTTCATTTCACATAAAAAAAAGCGCCGAGGCGCTTTTTTTAATCAGAGAAGATCAATTATTTAATTTTTGCTTGTGCTTTTAAATAACGTGAATAATCATCTAATAATTGTTCACCACGGAACTTCTGATACATTTGCGTAAGTTGCTGAACTTCAGCAGGATCCATCTGAGCAGTATCTACTTTTTTCACATTCGCTACAGCCACAACAACTAACTCATTTGGCAGCTTGGCAGTGCTGACAGACCACATGCCTGCTTTAGGTACTGGCTGGCTAAAGGCAACGCGCTCAATCTCACGCTTAAGGCCTTTTGAACGTGTGAATGTTCCCGCATGGACAAAATTAGACTGATATTTCGCAGTAACCTCTTGAGCCGGCAATTTTTTGAAATCTGCAATCATGGCATTTAATTTTGCATGGGCAGCATCAAACGCTTTTTGTTCAATCAATTGTGCTTTTACACGCGCACTTGCTTGCGCTAAAGGCTGTACACCGGCTGGATGATACTTACGAACTTTAACCCAGACAACATCACCATTGGCTGTTTGGATATTACTTGAAGCCGTCGTATTTCCGCTTTTCACATCTTCATTAAACAGTTTAGATTTAACAGCAGGATCAGCAAGAACTGGATTGGTTGTCGTTAAATTCACATTATTTGCAGATTGAACTTGAACAGTCTTCACTGCTTGTGAAACCACATCCAATGCATCACTGTTAACCACTTGCTCATTTAAACTATTTACAGTGTCTGAGAAATAGTTGGCTGATTTATTCTTTAAAACCTCAGCAGTCAATTCAGCTTTTTTCGACTCAAATGATGGCACTGAATCTACTGGTGTATTCACTTCAATCAAATGATAACCGAATTGAGTTTTAACAGGCTTAGACACTTGACCATTGCTTGTTGAGTTCACAGCTTTATCAAAATCATCACCAAAGGCACCTGGCGCATAGGCAGCAAGTGCACCACCTTTCGCTTTAGAATCAGGGTCTTCTGAATATTGCGCAGCAGCTTGAGCAAATGACGTACCTGCCTGAATTTTTGCATACACTTCATTTGCAAGTGTAGCAGCTTGCTCAGGCGTACGAGAATCAGTCGTGATCAGAATATGTTTAACATCACGCTTCAAACTTTGCTTATATTTTTCTACAAACTGAGTATAAGCTTGTTGTAATTCAGCATCAGTCACTGCCTCATTTGGCTGTGTCAATGTCGCTGGGCTGAGCACCACATAGTCCACATCCACTGAAGCAACTTGTTTAAACTTATTTTGATGCTTGTTGTAATAATCCGCAATTTCCTGATTGGTCACTTTAACATTGGCTTTATAGTCATCAAGTTTAACGCTTGATAAGAATAATTCACGTTGTTCAGATTGCAAGTTGGCAATTTGCTGGATATCCAATTTACTGATCAGTGCATTATCCGAAATTGTAGAGCTCAAAATGCTTAAGGCAAAATCTTGGCGAATATTTTGGATAAAGGCTTGGCTAGTTAAACCCTGTGAACGTAAATAGTTTGCATATAGTGTATTTGAAAATTTACCATTTTCCTGAAAAGCAGGAATTTGTGCAATTTTCTGTTCAATTTGAGCATCGCTCAAAGTCACACCTAACTTATCAGCTTGTTGTCTTAAAAGACTTTGGCTAATTAGGTAATCAAGTGCTTTATTTGCAATAAATTCTTTGTTCAATAAAGACTCATCCCCATGTATAGCAGGATTTGCCAATAATTGATCTGTATAGCCTTTTGTAACCGTTTCTAACTCTTTTTTAGAAATATCTTGACCATTAACAGTTTTAGCTACGTCTGCTTTTTGCCCACCGCTGAAATAGCCTTCAATACCAACCACAGCAAATGGCGCTAAAAATAACACAAGGAGAACTTTACCAAACCAGCCCCTTATGAGAGTGCGAAACGATTCCATGAGTATTCCAATATTATATTTCGTAAGGATTCTAACTGAAATTGTGAAATGAATGAACGAGCAATCACTGATAATTTAATATATTTCATAAAAAACGCGCCACAAAGGCGCGCTTTTAACAAGCTCAGATTAAGCTACTGAGTCTTTTAAGCCTTTACCAGCTTTAAAGCTAGGTACTTTGCTTGCTTTAATCTGAAGCTCTTCACCAGTTTTAGGGTTACGACCAGTACGAGCAGCACGGTCTTTAACACTGAATGTGCCAAAGCCGACTAAAGTCACTGTGTCGCCTTTTTTAAGCGCTTCACCAATTGAAGCAATAGTCGCATCTAATGCTTTACCAGCATCGGACTTTGACAATCCCCCTTTTTCTGCAATCGCATCGATTAATTCTGATTTATTCATGAAGATTACGTCCTCTTATATCGTTTGTTTAAGTTCCAAGGCTGTAGATCAAAGGCCATGACGACTTTATAGCAATGCTTTGGGGGGAAACGCAAGACTCCAAACACGCTTTTCACAAAAATTACGACTAAAATTTACGATTTTTTTGGATTAATGGTAATTATTTCATTTTTTTTAGCAATTGGTCGCGTAAGTTTTGGTTCTCTTCAGCCAACGCATCGACCTTATTGTGAAGTTGCAGGATCAAGTTTTCCAAATGCTGAAGATCTTTAGCAGTCACTAAACCAATTCTGTTTAATGAATGATTTACACGCTGGTCTAAGAGTTTTTCAACTTTGTCTTTGGTTTCTGCAACTGACTCTTTGGTTTTTTCAGTGACTTTATTGACTGTCTGATCTGTGACTTCAACTGTCTTGGATTCAAGCTCCTCACCCACCTTGACTAAAGAATCAAAGAGTTTATTGCCTTCTTCTTCGGCTCTGGAGAACGCTCCCAACCCTGCCAACCAGATTTGTTTTGTATATTTTCTGAAATCTAATGCTGACTTTTTATGATTTCTAGGCTTTATTTGAGATTCATCAAACTCATTTTGATCTTCATAAAGATCCGTTTGTTCTTTGTTGCTCTTTTTCATATCTTGCTCCATTTACCCCAAACTCCAGCGTGTAATGACCTATATGACCAAATTATGTAGAAAATATTGCTATATTATCAAATAAAACTATTGAACCTTTTGCTAAACTGTTCTACAAAGCAAAGTAATTGTTTTAATGTTAAGGAACACTTGGCAATTCGACAATGGTTATTAAGATAATTTTTATATCATTGTTGAAATATTGTGTTTCAAGTCATGGATGAGATTGTTTCAAATTTATTTAGAGATCGGACTCTCTGTTTTGCTATAGGAATTTTTTATGAATGAATCGCAACAAAAGCAAGGTCATTCTCGTTTGTTGCTAAACATTGTCATGATTATATTGGAAACCATTTATTCTTTCGTATTAAAACATGATCGTGTTGTTCGCTTACAGGCAAAAAAATTCGTCGGACAGCAGATTACAATTAAAATGAATAGTTATATTCCTTATTTTGACTTTTATGTTCAATTTACAGATCGTGGTATTCTTTTTGATTTGCAACCTCCAGAAAAAGCCATTGACCTTTCTGTGAGTAGCACACTCATCGATTTCATCCAAATTTTTGTCTTTGCTAATCGTCGTAGCATGAAAAAAATGCGTCTGGAGGGCGATAACCTGCTCAAGGAACAGTTTCGTGATCTGGTTGTACACTTAACTGCACCTAAATTGCTTTCAGACTGGAAGCAATGGTTAACCAATCCAGATGATGACAGCCAGACTAAAGCATCAAAAAAACGCATTGCCCCTTTGCTTGAAAAGATTGATCAGCAACGCTCTAAGATCAACACACTCCAAGTTGAAGTGAAACAATATCAAAATCGTGTTAAACGCTTGCAGCTCAATCAACAACGTTTATATACGGCTTTAGGCGTATTGGGCTTTCTATTTATGGCATTAATCGTGTATAATCTTTGGCAAATATTTTCATAAAACTTGAACAAAAATTGAATTTTTCCTGTAATTTTTGTTCAAATAATAAATTCTGACTAAATTAGTCAGAATTAAACTTAAAAATACTTGACTATTTTAGTCAGGATTCATAAAATTCATACATCTAGTCTAAAACATGTGTATCGAATCATGCGCCTAACTACTCGCGGTCGCTATGCAGTGACTGCACTACTTGACTTAGCATTGCAGCCACCTGAACAAACGATTACGCTTGCAGAAATTGCAACCCGCCAAACGATATCTGTCGCTTATCTTGAACAATTGTTCGCTAAACTTAAACGTCATGGCTTAGTTTCAAGTGTTCGTGGAGCAAATGGCGGTTATCACTTAGCGCGCCATGCTGAAGAAATTACTGTCTTAGAAATTATTGAAGCTGTAAATGAAACTGTTGATGCGACTCGTTGTGACCACAAAGGCAACTGCCAAAATGGTGCAATGTGTTTAACTCACGATTTATGGCAAGAACTCTCTCTCCATATTGCCGATTATTTAGCTAAAATCACCCTTGCGGATTTAGTAGCTCGTGACAACGTACAAACCGTTGCGGTTCGCCAAAATTCAGCACCTCTTGATTCAGCCCTTTTATCGGTTACAGGTATTTGACATGAAACGTCCGATTTATCTTGACTATGCAGCAACTACGCCTGTTGATCCTCAAGTAGCAGAACGCATGATGGAGTGTTTAACCTTTGATGGTACATTCGGTAATGCTGCTTCTCGCTCACATGCTTATGGATGGCAAGCTGAAGAAAAAGTTGAATATGCACGTGAACAAGTCGCAAATTTAGTAAAAGCTGATCCACGCGAAATTGTCTGGACTTCTGGTGCTACTGAATCTGATAACCTTGCCCTTAAAGGTGTTGCTCAGTTTTACGGTTCTAAACGCAAACACATCATCACAAGTAAAATTGAACATAAAGCAATTTTAGATACTTGTCGTGAATTAGAAGAAGAAGGTTTTGAGATTACCTATCTTGAACCTGAACCTAAAACTGGTTTAATTACCCCAGAAATGGTTCAAGCTGAACTTCGTCCAGATACGCTACTTGTTTCATTGATGATGGTGAACAATGAAATTGGTACTGTGACAGATGTTGCTGCAATTGGTGAGTTAACACGTGCCAATAAAACCTATTTCCATGTTGATGCTGCACAAGCTGCGGGTAAAGTTGAAATCGATCTTTCTACCATGAAAGTTGATTTGATGAGCTTCTCAGGTCATAAGGTTTATGGACCTAAAGGCATTGGTGCTTTATTTGTACGTCGTAGCCCACGTGTTCGTATCAAAGCACAAATTCATGGCGGTGGTCATGAACGTGGTATGCGCTCAGGTACACTTGCAACCCATCAAATTGTCGGTATGGGTGAAGCATTTGAACTTGCTGGCAAATCTTTACAAGCTGAACAAACACGTTTACGTGTACTCCGTGACAAACTTTGGAACGGTTTACAAGATTTAGAACAAGTCTTCTTAAATGGCCATCCTGTATACAATGTTGCAAACTACTTAAATGTTAGCTTCAACTTTGTTGAAGGTGAATCATTGATGATGGCGTTAAAAGATGCTGCTGTATCTTCTGGTTCAGCATGTACATCTGCAACACTTGAACCTTCTTACGTACTTCGTGCCCTCGGTCTTTCTGACGAGTTAGCACATAGTTCAATTCGTTTTAGCTTTGGTCACTATACGACTGAAGAAGACATTGATCATGTAATTAAGATTACTAAAGCTGCTGTTGAGAAATTGCGTGAGCTTTCTCCGCTTTGGGATATGTACAAAGAAGGGATCGACTTAAATTCAGTTGAATGGGCTGAACACTAAGTTCCTTGAAATCAAAACGCGGCATTTTATTGAAAATCAGTAAAATGCCACCAAATTAGATTGTAGAAATACATATTATCAACGCTGACCCCGAGGTTTGGAGAAGCAACATGGCTTATAGCGAAAAAGTAATAGATCATTACGAAAATCCTCGTAATGTTGGTGTGTTGGATAAAAATGCAGAAAATGTTGGTACAGGTATGGTGGGTGCACCTGCATGTGGCGATGTAATGCGTTTACAAATCCAAGTGAATGACAGTGGTGTAATTGAAGAAGCTCGCTTTAAGACTTATGGCTGTGGCTCTGCAATTGCATCTAGCTCACTCGTAACCGAATGGTTAAAAGGTAAAACGCTTGACGAAGCACAGGCGATTAAGAATATCGACATCGCAACTGAACTTGCACTTCCTCCTGTAAAAGTACACTGTTCTGTACTTGCAGAAGATGCAATTAAAGCTGCTGTTGAAGATTACCGTAGCAAGAAAACTAAAGCCTAATATCTGTTCGTCAAATTTAGCAGATGATTTTTTAACGGAGTTTTCATGATCAATCTAACTGAAAATGCTGCAACTCATATCAGCAATTACTTAAAGAATCGCGGTAAGGGTGAAGGTATTCGTCTTGGTGTGAAAACTTCAGGCTGTTCTGGCTTAGCTTATGTACTTGAGTTTGTTGATAATATCGACACTCATGATCAAATGTTCGAGCAGTTTGGTGTAAAAGTTTTTGTAGATCCAAAAAGTTTGGTTTATCTCGATGGTATGGAAATGGACTATGTTAAAAATGGTCTCAATGAAGGCTTCGAGTTTAATAACCCAAATAAAAAAGGTGAATGTGGCTGCGGTGAATCTTTCACTGTATAATCTGCCCTGCTTTTTCTAATGTTAAAACAGTGTCTTGCACTGTTTTAATCACATTTAATTACACCGTTTTCCTGTAAAACATCGTGGATGAGTATCTCCCATGAGTCATTTTGAGTTGTTCGATCTCCCGGAAGCACTCGATATTGATTTAGCGACATTAAAAGCTAATTTCCTAAAACTACAACAGCAATATCATCCTGATAAAGCTGAAGATAAAGACAAAGCTTTGATTAAATCAAGTGAAATTAATCAAGCATATAAAGCTTTATCCAATGTAGACAGTCGTGCTGCTTATCTACTGTCACTCAAAAAGCAAGATCATCACTTAGATCAATCAATTAGTGATTTTGAGTTTTTACAATCTGCTTTAGAAATTCGTGAGCAGCTTGATGAAGCAACCAATACCGAACAATTGCATTCTTTAAAAAAAGAAGTCCAACAATGGATTGATGGCTTAGTTCGTGAATTCAAAATTGATTTTGAGGATGAAGATTGGGCTGAAGCACGCGACACTGTGCGCAAGTTACGATTCTTTCAAAAAGTCATGAATGATATTGATAAAGCCGAAGATCAGCTTTTAAATGATGAAGATTTTAGCTTAGATGATGATTTCTAAATTTTAACTTTCATTATATGTTTTACCCGAATTTGTTTTTAATTTTTATTTTAAGGATGTGACAAATGGCACTCTTGCAAATTGCTGAACCAGGACAATCAAGTGCGCCACATGAACACCGTATTGCGATTGGTATCGACTTAGGGACAACCCATTCTCTTGTTGCTACGGTATTATCAGGCAAAGCCAAAGTACTGAACGATGAGCAAGGTCGCGTGTTACTTCCTTCTATTGTACATTATTCTAAAAATTCGACCGAATATGGCGACGCAGCAAAACCGTTTATTACTGCTGACCCTAAAAATACCATTGTTTCTGTTAAGCGCTTTATGGGCCGTTCTAAAGCAGATGTTAAATTTCAACACCCTTACACGCTTGCAGGTGCTGATAATGAAATGCCAGCATTTGAAACAGCTCAAGGTCGTAAAACACCTGTAGAAATCTCTGCAGAAATCTTAAAACAACTGAAAGATCGCGCTGAACAAAGTTTAAGCAATCCGGTGAATGGCGCTGTTATTACGGTTCCAGCCTACTTTGATGAAGCGCAACGCCAAGCTACACGTGATGCAGCTGAACTCGCAGGTTTAAATATATTACGCTTACTCAATGAACCTACCGCTGCAGCTGTTGCATATGGCTTAGATCAAGAGAGCAATCTAACAACAGACCGTAACTATGTCATTTATGATTTAGGTGGCGGTACATTTGATGTGTCTATTTTACGCTTTTCTCAAGGTGTGTTTGAAGTTTTAGCTACAGGCGGTCATACCGCACTGGGTGGCGATGACTTAGATCGCCTTATTGTGAAATGGGCAAAAAAACAACTGAATATTGAAACCTTAGATGATGCAGAATATGCACACTTTATCGTTTCTGCACGTAAAGCCAAAGAAGCGCTCAGTGATGCTACCTCTGTTGATATTAAAGTTCTAACACACCACCTCACGCTAGATCGCACGACATTTGAAGAAATCATTCAAGTGGCATTAGATAAGACGATCAATGTGTGTAAACGTGTCATGCGTGATGCAAAACTTGAACTCGATGATATTCAAAATGTAGTTCTTGTTGGTGGCTCAACCCGCTCTTATGCTGTACAGAAAGTGGTGCGTGAAGTATTTAAGCAAGAGCCGCTTTGTACCATCAATCCTGATGAAGTTGTGGCGATTGGCGCTGCTATCACTGCGAATCAACTCATTGGGAATTCTAAGGATGGCTCATTACTTTTAGATGTTACCCCACTGTCACTCGGTTTAGAAACTATGGGTGGTTTGGTTGAACGCTTAATTTCACGTAATACAGCCATTCCTGTTGCACGCCGTCAAGAGTTCACCACCTATCAAGATGGTCAAACCGCCATGTTGATCCATGTCTTGCAAGGCGAACGTGACTTAGTTGAGCATTGCCGCAGCTTAGGTCGTTTTGTATTACATGGTATCCCACCAATGACCGCGGGTCAGGCACGTATTGAAGTCACTTTTCAGGTCGATGCAGATGGCCTGCTTACTGTTTCAGCCAAAGAAACCACATCAGGGGTCAATGCGCAAATCGACATTAAACCTTCTTATGGATTGTCTGAGACCGATACTGAACGCTTGCTTTTAGAAGGTTATAAATTCGCTGAAGAAGATAAAAATCTTCGCCATCTCAATGAAACTAAAGTTGAAGCACAGCGTGAACTTGAAGCCTTAACACAGGCGTTAAAGGTCGACTCCAACCTGCTCAGTACTGAACAACTGACTGCGCTCAATCAAGCCGCTGAAGCTTTAAAAGCCCAGCTTGAAACAAACGATATCAAATCGATTGAACATGCAGTTGAACAATTAAAAACTTATAGCGATGCCTTTGCAGCAGAACGTATGAATCAACACATTGATCATGCACTCAAAGGCACCAAACTTGATGATTGGTCTAACTCAAACTAATTTAAGGTAATGACTATGCCACGTATTAAAGTACTACCTCATGCAACAATTTGTCCAAATGGTGCTGAGTTTGAAGTTGAACCAAACGCCAATCTGTGCCAAAGTTTGCTCGATAATGGTATTAAAATCGAACATGCCTGTGACATGTCTAAAGCATGCACCACTTGCCATGTGATTGTACGCAAAGGCTTTGATGAGCTCGAAGAGATGGATGATATTGAAGCCGATTTACTCGATCGCGCTTGGGGCTTAGAACCCGATTCGCGTCTGTCTTGCCAAGTTAAAATCACTGATGAAGATATGGAAGTTGAAATTCCAAAGTATACGATTAACCATGCTTCTGAAAACCACTAAGTTGCTTTTCATATAGGCAAAAAAAACCACTCTTTATGAGTGGTTTTTTAATGGCTTAGGTATTTAATTTAATATTTAAGGATTTTACAAATAATTTGAGTTGACTTCGTCTTCAATATTAAGCTTTGCAACACCTTGAGAATTGGTAAGTTTTTGCTGAACCTTAATCCGTTCTACCATTTTTTCTAATACTTCCACCAACTCTGGATATTCAAAGTTTTGCACTTCTTCTAAATTCAGCACCAAGTGGAAGCCTTTATACTCATAATCAAACCATTGCTGATTTTCATTCTTGGTTGCAGAGTATTTTTCCATCACTTGCCAAGTGCGTACCTTACCTTGAATCCCTTTCAGTTCAATCGGGGTTTTTGGTGCACAAAGATAATCGTTTTTAATCAGCTTATAGGTTTCATCTGAAACCAAAATTTCATCGATATCCGCAGCATATTGCAAACGCGCTGCTAAATTGGCATCACGACCCACAATGGTATACGCCATACGATGTACAGCACCATAGTTTCCAACGTGGCAATAACCGGTACTTACCCCCATACGAATATGTAAAGGTGCATAGCCCATTTTCACCCAACGTTCACGGAGAAATTTCATCTGCTGGCGCATTGCAATCGACATATCAATACAGTTTTTCGCATCCTGCTCCACACCTTGTGAGTCTGGATCACCAAAGAAAATCAGGATTGCATCACCCATAAATTTATCAATGGTTGCACCATATTGTTTGGCAATTTCAGTCATATGACTTAAATAGTCATTTAATACAAAGGCCAAATCATCTGGAATCAGAGTTTCTGATAATTCTGTAAATCCTTGAATATCAGAAAAGAAAACCGTCATTTTTTTACGTTTATATTCAATCTTGGCTTCTGTATCGCCACGCATAATCGCCTGCCAAAGCTGTAATGGCGCATAACGACTGAGTTGATTTGACAACTCAATATAACGATTCATTTCATTGAAATAGGTGTTTTTCTTGGTTTCTACACTTTTGATACGGCGATTTTGATAATAATTTCCGATGTTTACAAACAAGATAATACTAATAAAAGACAGGACTGATAGCTCAGGGCTGGTTTGCTGAAAATAATCATAAAAACCAAAGATAAAAATAATATTGGTATAAAACACAACAAAGGCAACTAAAATTGCCAGAGAGCCCATCATAAAAGAAATTTTGTTGTTAATCGCTGTATAGATCAGTGCAAATAACAATACAAAAGTTACCACGAGGCTTAAATGTACAGCAGCCAATGCGGTAGAAACAACGATGACATCAATTAAAAAATAAATATTCTTCCGAATCTTAGAGCCATATGAATATTCTAGCCAACGCGATAATTTAGGGCTAACAATAAAAATAAAGCCTATAAAAAAAGGAACATAAAATTGATAATTTGCAATTGGGGAGGTGAAATAATAAACCATGACCACCAAAGCAATAATCAAATACCCCATAAATCGCTGGAATATTTCAAATTGCTTTGGCTCTTTATCTAACATACGTTCAAATGGCAAAATATTTTACCTCGGATGTCATTTTATTAAACACTTCCCTTGTGCTGTTTACACTTAATCCATACGCCAATCGAATGGCATCTCACCTTGACCACGTAACGCCAACATCAGTGTTTGACGCATGTGTGCTAATACTTCATTGCTATAAGGAACTGCTTGCAGGCCAAATACAGGTTTAGGCCAAGCTACATCATTCTGATAACGAACTACATGATGAAAATGTAATTGCGGAACCATATTTCCAAGTGCAGCGACATTCATTTTATCTGCACGAAAAACACGAGAAAGCTGACTAGACAACCAGCTTGATTCACGTAAAAACTGCTCTTGGTCAGCTTGACTTAGTTCATATAACTCAGTGATACCAGGAACACGTGGAATAAGAATCAGCCACGGGAATTGCATATCATTCATTAAACGACATGTTGAAAGCGGAAAATCGCCTACAAAAAAAGTATCTTGAGCAAGTTGTGGATGCAAACTAAACATATCTTTATAAATGACGCAAAATTAAAAGGATGGCTAATACTAACACATCGGTTTTCGTGTGAATATTGGTTATCTTGTGTTTTGGTACAAATAAACACAGTTTGTTTTGAACCTGATCACAATTACACTTTAAAGAATCACAGAATTTTTTCAAGTGATTTACTAGAAAAAATTCATAAGCACTTTTAATCTCAAATTGAGCATTTTTTAAGCTCAAAATCCTGATAAATTAACGCTTTAATTCTGTCAGTAAATTGTTTAACAAATCCTGAATAAACTGAATTCGCTTGTCATTTTCTTCAAGCATCACCATCACTTTTAAACGTTGCCCACCTTCCATACGGAACCAAGTTGGATGCTTCTGCATGAGCTGAATAATACTGATCGCTTGCACAGGTGTATCAGGTGAAAATTCGATCACCCCACCATTGGCCCCAATATCAATTTTGGTAATTTCTAAGGCTTCAGCCTTAACCCGAATTTGATGAACACTAAACAGTTGTTTTACCGGCAATGGTGGTACACCAAAGCGATCGATCAACTCCATACGGATATTGTCAAGTTTATCCTGAGTATCGGTATTACTAATACGTTTATAGAACATAAGACGCTGATGTACATCGCCCAAATATTCATCGGGAATCAAAGCGGGCATATGCAGGGTAATTTCAGAGGTAAGTGAAAGTGGTGTATCAAAATTAGGTGTCTTGCCCTGTTGAATTGCTTTGGTCGCTTTGGCCAACATTTCCATATATAGGCTATAACCAATTGCATTCATTGAACCGCTTTGTTGTTCACCCAGTAATTCACCAGCCCCACGGATCTCTAAGTCTTCCGTAGCCAGCATAAAACCAGCGCCAAGATTTGAAGCTCTCTGAATGGCATCTAAACGTTTTTCTGCATCACCTTTAAGGCCTTTAATCGATGGCACCATCAAATATGCATAGGCTTGATGATGGGAACGTCCAACACGACCACGTAATTGATGTAATTGTGCTAGGCCGAGTTTGTCTGCACGTTCAATAATAATCGTATTGGCATTAGGAACATCAATCCCCGTTTCAATAATTGTTGAACAGACCAGCACGTTAAATTCTTTGTGATAGAACTGTTGCATGATTTGCTCAAGTTCACGTTCACGCATTTGACCATGCGCAACCGCGACACGCGCTTCAGGTACAAGTTGACGAATATTTTCCGCAGCGCGTTCTATGGTATCTACTTCATTGTGTAAAATATAAACCTGACCACCACGTAACAACTCTCGCAGAATTGCCTCTTTCATGGTTTCATTGGTTTGTTCATTGACAAAAGTTTTGACAGCTAAACGACGTGCTGGTGGTGTGGCAATAATTGAAAGATCGCGCATTCCGCCAAATGCCATATTCAAGGTACGAGGAATTGGTGTTGCAGTTAAGGTTAACATATCAACATCTGCACGCATGGCTTTGATACGCTCTTTATCACGTACCCCAAAACGATGCTCTTCATCAACAATCATTAAACCTAAGTTTTTAAACTGCACATTTTCCTGAAGAATTTTATGTGTGCCGATGACAATATCAACTTTACCATCGATTAAATCATCAATGGTTTTGGTGTGACTTTTATTGGTTCCAAAACGCGAAAGTACCTCTATACGAATTGGCCAATCGGCAAAGCGATCTTTAAATGATTCAAAATGTTGTTGCGCCAATAAGGTGGTAGGCACTAAGACAGCCACTTGCCTATTATTTTGAACAGCAACGAATGCCGCGCGCATTGCCACTTCCGTTTTACCAAAGCCAACATCACCACAAACCAGTCGATCCATTGGTTTGGCTTGTTGCATATCGTATAGAGTCGCTTCGATGGCATTGGCCTGATCCAGTGTTTCCTCATAAGCAAAACCACTGGAAAATTGCATATATGCACTTTGATCCAGCTCAAAGCTAATCCCGGGTTTAGACTGACGACGTGCTTGGATATGTAGTAATTCAGCTGCCACATCATGAATCTGTTCAAGCGCTTTACGTTTTGCTTTATTCCATGCATCTGTACCCAATTTATGTAAAGGTGCTAAATCAGGATCACCGCCACTAAAACGGCTAATCAGATGTAAATTAGTGACAGGAACATACACTTTTGCATCATCTGCATAGTTTAATTGCAGGAACTCATAGTCTTGTTCATCAATATTTAAGGTGACTAAACCTGCATAACGCCCAACACCATGATCAATATGCACCACTGGCGCACCAATATTGAGTTCCGTCAGACTTCGAATAAGAAACTCTTCTGAAACCTCTTGTTGACGTTTTCTACGGCGCTGTACTACACGGTGTTCATACAGTTGGTTTTCAGAAATAACCGATAGATCATTGCTGATGACCAATCCACGATCCAAAGGCGCATTGGTAATCGCGACAGAGAAATTAGATTGTTGAAATACAGCAAAACTTTCAACAACTGGAATTTCACCTAAACTTGCACGTAAAGCATCTTTTAAAGTTTCACGACGTCCAGCACTTTCAGCCACCAGTAACACTGGATGATTGGCCTCATCTACATACTGCTTCACTGCTTTAAATGGCTGGTCTTGTTTAGGGTCTACAGGCAATCGTGGCGGCAATTCAACCGACAAATTGATACAGCCTACTTTTAATTCAATGGCTTCTGTTGAGGCAATAATTCTTGAAAATTGATTTAAATATTCGAATAGTTGATTCGGTTGTATAAAAATTTCTTCAGGTGGTAATAGCGGTTGATCAGCATTATGGCGTCGGTCTTCATAACGGCGCATCACATCTGTCCAAAAACTCAACAATCCTTCGTCAATGTGTTTATCTGTAATGACAATCGCATTGCTTGGTAAGTACGATACCAAACAACTTTGTGTTTGCATGGCTTGCTGTGAAAAGAATAATGGGAAATAGAAATCTAATCCTGGAGAAGCAATGCCTTCTAACACATCTTGATAAATTGGGTTTTTCTTGGGATTTGCAGTTGGAAAACTTTCTGCATAACGATCACGAAATGTTGAACGCGCTTCTTTTAACGGAAATTCTTTTGCAGGAAGCACGGTAAAACGCTCTAACTTTGTTGTTGTTCTTTGGGTTTCTGGGTCAAAGAATTTTAAACTGTCTATTTCATCGTCAAATAAATCAATACGGATAGGCGCGTTTTGCCCAGAGGCATAAATATCCATGATGCTACCACGTACCGCAAATTCCCCATGATCATAAACGGTATCAACCAGATGATAACCCGCCTGAACTAATTTTAATTTTTGTTGTTCTAATGCAAATTTCTGACCAACGCGGATATCAAAATGCTCACCCAACACCCATGATGTAGGGGCAACACGTTGTGCCAAGGTGGTTGCTGATACCAATAAAATACCTTTTTGTGGCATATTGGAAAGTATTGATAGTCTTTCAGAAACAATATCTTGGTGTGGAGATAAACGATCATATGGCAATATCTCCCAATCTGGAAATATTGTTGGTTTTACCCCATAAAATTCTAATTCACTTTCCAACTGTCCCAAGTGCTGATTATTTTTTGCAACCAATACAAAGAGCTGATCCGATTTCTCTGCGATCTCCTTAAACAATAAGGCTGCAGATGAACCTAGCATTGTGCCAATCCAGCGCTTTTCACCTGCTTTCAGTTGTTTTAAATTGAGGTCAGAGATTTCTTGTTTAAACATAATCGCATAGGGTCTAAAAGACATGAGCAATAGTTTAACATGATGACTTTATTCAGTTGAGTGATTTTGTTTATTCTATTTATCTGCGCAATGACTCAACAACAGCATTTCTTCATCAGGATAGAATTCACATCAACCTCAAGACAAACTCACAGGATCATAGACCTGTGGAAGCTCTTGCAAATGAATTGAGAATAGTTATTTGTATAACAGAGAAAAATCTAAGCGACATCACACATTATTCTTTAGTGAAATATTCTGATTCCACCAGATATTTTGCATTCCTTAAGTTGATTTATTTTTCTCGTTTAAACGCTTTATAATAATCATTGAGTTTTTGAATAATTTGTTTGAATTGTTTTAAATTTTCTTCTGTATTGCCAAGTCTTTGCACATAGTTGTTTGTCGCGATTTCTAAATCAATCTTTTCATTGATCAAAATTGTTTTATAGAACAAAGCCTTTAAATCATCAAAATTATTGAGTTTTCGGTTAGAAAAGTATTCCAACCGTTCAGATAACTCACGATTTAAAACAATACCATCTACAATAAAACCATGCTCAGCATCAATTTGAATATTATTTTCTTGTAGAAAAACTTGTTCAGGACCGTTTTTATTGCCCTTAAATAATGCTGCAATTTTATCAAACATCATTAAAACTCAATCAAATCAAAGCTTCAACATAACAAAGATGACAAAAGTTCGCAGTAAAAGGCCGTTTTAAAACGACCATTTACCTGAAGAACATAAACCATCAACGTTATTCGTCACCCAAATCATCTAAGAAGTCGACAGTAGGCACAAAGAATAAGGTTCCAGTCACTGCTGTACTAAAATCTAATAAACGATCTAAATTACCCTCTTCATCACCTTGAAACATATGCTCTAACATTTGTCGAGTCACACTAAATTTGCGTGCATAACCAATAAAGAAGGTGCCATATTCATTTTTAGATGGATTTGAGAACGGCATATTTGCACGCATGATTTTAATTTCATTGCCATCTGCATCGTGTGCCTTACTCACTACATTGTGTGCTGTTTTAGGCTTTACATCATCACTCAGTTCAACATCATTAAACTTTTTACGTCCGATGACTTTTTCTTGTTCTTCATCACTGAGCGCACGCCACTTGTCCATATCATGCATATATTTTTGAATAAATGCATAACTGCCACCTTTAAAGTCTGGATCTTCATCACCCACCAGTGCATATTCAGCTGCAATTTCAGGCTCTGGGTTTTCTGTCCCATCAACAAAGCCAATAATCGCTCTACCGTCAAAATATCGAAAACCATTCACTTCATCCACTGGATAACTTACGGCTTTTAATTGCGTATTGATCATATCTGCCATTTCAAAACACAACGCTTGACGATCAGCACGAATATGGAAAAACAAATCACCTTCTGTTGAAACCGCCGTATATTTTGGCCCTTTAATTTCTTTAAACTGTTCTAATTCTTGTGGTTTAGCCTGATCGGGAAATAAACGCTCCCACGCATTTGCCCCAAATCCCATGACTGCACTAAATTGTGCATCTGGATAACGGTTGGTTAAACTACGTGTTAATGCTGAAAAATTTGCTGCAAAATCGATTACTGTATCTATTACTTCAGCCCCAAGCCTTAATCCTAAAACAATAAATAAGGCATTTTCCCCTGGACGATTCATTACAGGTTGAATTCGAGTTGAAGTCATAATTTATCTCAAAATATTCTATTGGTTACAATCTAACATAGGCTGTTTTAAAGCTTAAGTTTTTATCGTTAACAATCCACTAATTCACAATATTTATATGAATAGAAATGTTGCGAAAAATGATTAAAGCAATAAGTTTTGACTTTTTTGTTCAGACACCTCTATTGTCATTATTTTTAAAATCACTTTGAGTAATAAGCATAAATTTTAAAACAACTGTTTTTTTCATCAAACACAATATTCAAACGCTGCAACAAAGTACGAAATTGATCTGTTTGATCTAAAATCAAATCATCGATCAATCTTCCCCTCGGTTTGCTCAGCATAGGCTTTACAATTAAATATTCAATTGCAATAAATACAGGCATAGCATCGTGATAGAAAGGATGCCAATCACCTAAATACCATGGAATTTTCTTCACAAATTGATCTTCAGCTTGTATATCTTTATTTTCAGCCACCAATTTGACAATAAATGCAGGTGGAAAATCCAAGTCTGTCATTGCATGCAAAAGTTTGAGCCATTTTGAATCACTCATACAAGATACCAACTGCCGTTGATGCACGACCTGCTGAATTTTCAAAATATACTTTATATAGCCTTGATCAGTCTTTAATGTATTTATATGATTTCGATATTCAAGATAATTTTCTTGTAAACCCACATTTATCCTTCAGTCAAAAGCACCTATGTTAGATGCTTTTGACACATAGAGTTAACCATATTGTTTCTGTAAATAACGTACGATTGCTGCTGACTCAAAGAGTTTTTCACCTGTATTTGGATCTTCTAAATAAGGCACTTGAATGTCTTGCTTTGCGCGATCCATAACTGGAATAATTTTTTCACGTTTGCCACCCACCAAAGGAACATATTTACCCGGTTTTAAACGTAAAACTGCTGGGCCTAGATCTTGCCAACACTCTTTAGCCACATTATGAAAGATAAATGGAATTTCTAATTCAGTTAACACAGCACGCACAACACGTGTATAGGGGCTGGCTTCAAACCCCCATAATTCCAATAATTGCGCTGGACTTGCACGATCAACAATTTTTTTATTAACCCAAACCCCGCGTGCACCATTAATAATGGTTCCCACCATAGCGACCGTTGGGTATTTAGGATAATGAGAATATTTCTTTGGTGTTTTGCCCGTTTTACCATAATGCTTAAATAAGTAATCAACAATCTTTTGCGATTCGTACATTGCTGTTCCCGTGTTTTCATCAATGAAATACGGAAAACGCAATTTTCCACCTTTTTCTTTTACAATCTGACGATATTTAGTTCCACCTTTAGGGCATGGATAGACTTCATAATCCAAATTGAGCAAGGTCATCACTTCTCGTACACGGCGGCAAAATGGTGAACCTTCAAACTCATATAACTTTAAAGCCTTTTCTGGCTGGTTCGGAAACGGAGTTCCTGTTACACCACGGCCTCCCTCAGTCAGTGATGAAGCCAAAGCTTGTACAACTTTAATTTGATGATGCACCATTTTATACCCCCTAGACGATTGTTTTTGCTTAAATTAAGCTTTTTATAAATCCACTAATTTTTCTTTTGAAACCACAATGCCATTGTTATCTGCATAGATATATTCACCAGAATTGAAAGTGACACTACCAAAATACACAGGAATATCGACCTCACCTATGCCTTTACGATTGCTTTTTTGTGGAATTGAAGCCAATGCATGGACACCTAGATCAAGTTCAACTAGTGCATCTACATCACGTACACAACCATAAATCACTACACCATTCCAGTGATGCTTAACCGCTGACTCTGCAATCATGTCACCCATCAAGGCACAACGCATGGATGCTCCACCATCGACAACCAAAACCTTGCCTGTTCCATCTGTAGCAAGTAACTCTTTCACTCGTGAGTTATCTTCAAAACACTTGACTGTCACGATTTGACCACCAAAGGTTTTACGAGCCCCATAACTTCTAAAAAATTTGCCATCTAGAGATGGAATCAAGGTTTGGATGTCTTGGTCTGGATGATCATCTAATAAATCACAAGTTACAAAAGGTACTGTAGTCACGTTATCACTCCATTATTTGCTATTTTGTATACGCAAATTATCATAGATTTCAATTTTTTGAGTTTGTGTTTGAGCAGCCTCGACCATAGTATGAGCCACTTGTTGTGCTGTCACTGGCTTATATTTAAAAGAATTGGGTACCAAATGCGAAAATTTACCATACAGCTTTTGCGTTACATCTTCCAAGAATCGCTTTTCATTTCGATCACCAAGGAGTAACGATGGGCGAATAATTGAAAAACGATATAAATTCAACTTTTGTATATAGTCCTCAAGTTCACCTTTCACTTGATTATAAAAAATTGGTGAGCTGGCTTTTGCCCCCATCGCACTGACTAAAAGTAAATGGGTTTCAGTCATTTCAAATAAATCTGCAAAATGTGCATTGATCTCAAAATCAATATTATAGAAAGCTTCTTTAGAACCTGCCTTTTTAATAGTCGTTCCCAAACAACTGAATGCATGAGTGTAACCGCTGACATCTTGATCATTGAGTAGAAGGAAGTCATCCAATACAAATTGTTCAACTTTTTGAAATTTTGAAAAGTCGGGATTTTCTCGTCGCACAACAACTGTAATTTTTTCACAATCAGCCAATAAATTGAGCTGTTCAATGAGACGTTGCCCCACTAAACCTGTTGCTCCAATCACAATCGCATTTTTTATCGAATTAGTCATTTTTTAAACAATCTCCTAGATTTATTACTAATCTAACGTTTTATTTCAAATTTTTCTTCAACAAAAATGTTGTCAAAGCATGTCAACACTTGACTTTACTGGCCTCTTTAATCACAATATGGCACTTGTTTACGGGCTGGTGATAATCCTCTGATGTGGTTTTCAGATGTGGTTTCAGCCCGCCCAGACCCATCTAATTCAAGGAGTGCACGAGTGGCAAACTCTGCTCAAGCAAAAAAACGTGCTCGTCAAAACGTTAAAGCACGTAAACACAACGCAAGCTTGCGTTCAATGGTACGTACTTATATCAAACGCACAATCGCTGCTATCGCTACTGGTGAATATGCTACTGCAACTGAAGCTTATAAAGCTGCAGTTCCAGTTATTGACCGTATGGCGGATAAAGGTATCATCCATAAAAACAAAGCTGCTCGTCACAAGAGCCGCTTGAATGCACAAGTTAAAGCGTTAGCTAACTAATTTTTGCATGTGAAAAGAGCCCTTTAAAGGGCTTTTTTTGTAGCTAAAATTTGACTATAGCGCTTTAAAATCGGAAACCATCAAAACTTATCTACCACCGCATCAATATTTCTCAGTAGATAGATAAGTAAGAGTTCTAAACAATAAAAATAATTATTTTGCTAAATGTGAAATTAAGACTGTTGCAGTAGTTAAAATACCTTCCTGACGGCCAGTAAAACCCAATTTCTCTGTGGTTGTTGCTTTAACGCTAATTTGAGTCACATCAACATCTAACACATCTGCAATACTTTGACGCATTTCCAAATTGTGTTTGGCTAATTTAGGCCGTTCACATGCCACAGTAATATCGGCATTATTTAATTTATAACCACGGTCTAAAATTAATTGATAAACATGTTTTAAAAGTTTACGGCTATCCGCACCTTTAAATTCAGCATCTGTGTCTGGGAAATGCTGTCCAATATCACCTAAAGCCAATGCACCCAATAAAGCATCACATAATGCGTGTAACACGACATCACCATCAGAATGTGCTTTTAAACCATGCGTATGTGGAATTTGAACGCCTGCCAAAGTTACAAAATCACCTTCTTCAAAAGCATGTACATCCATTCCCTGCCCAATACGAATCGGTATGATCATTCTTAGCTCCTTTTGCAGTTTTTAAAATTTAAAAATCTTGTATTCGTACTTTCTCTTTCGCTATAGTACGTATGCAAACATTGTGAAAGTATAAGCGATCATGCTGTTGAATACAGAATTTAATCAAATTAAAACACTCTTGTCTGGTCTCATTTTGAGCTGTATCAGTACATCAGCTGTTTACGCCCTGCCTCTTGACTGTAAGCACCAAGATTCATCACTTTTAAAAAAGTTATGTGGTTCGCAGTATAGTGAACTACGCGCTCAATTAAATGAGAGCTATCTCACTGCATATCTGGTCACAGATGCACCAATACGCTTAATCAATGATACGCATCGTTTGTGGCTCAACCGTTTAAGTCAATGTAAAAGCAACGATTGTTTTAAACAACAGTTCGATATTCGCCTAGAAGACTTAAATTTTTACACTTCAATGAATCAAAGTTTAACCCAACATTTCATCAAATATGAACATGGTAAAATTTCGAAGCAACCCGCCCATTTACAAATCCATCAACTGACTAAAGATCGGATTAAAGTTGAAGGCATCGCCTACCGAAATCCCAATAATCGTAAAGATAGTCAAATTGTCTCATTGTTGGCTTACACCACGCCTGAAAAAAAGAATCAAATTTTGGACAATGAACATGACTGTAAATATGTGCTTAATTTCCAAAAAGCAATTTTGTCTGTGACAACAACACAAAAAGGCTGTGAGCGCTTTACTGGAATTTACCGTTTATATGATTAAGATTTATAATTAAATTTGGCAAAACCATGAGTACAAAACTAGCGTTAAGTGAAGAAAGATTAAAAATATTATCTGAATGTATGCAGAATTATGACGTGGGTGCTGATACAGATGAATGGCCTAACAATATCATTTCGCGCTTTACCAGCGTTTATAATGATGGGTCTATTTCAAAGCACAATATCCCATTGCAGCATGAAATTGATCCC